ATTATTTCATATTATGTTCACCCCTCCAAGTATTGGACAAGCGGTGTGTATCTTAACTCGGAGATGTCCCGTCTCACACCTTTCTCGGTTGGCTTGTTGTGTTCGGAAGTAGACTATCGCACCCCCTGGACAGGCAAAATTTCATACTGAGAGACTGCGATGAGGAATATTATCTCATATGCTCGACAGGTATCTCCCAACACTCATTCACGCGTTTCATTGCGTTTTCGATAATCGCGGAACAGACTAGATAGGCTCGAGTGCACTTACTGAGAAACGAATTGCCAGCAAAATGAATTTTTTAGAATAAGCCTTAATTAAACAATGCAATCATTTCGGCAAATAGGTAGTTTGGGAGTAGTCCCAACGACGCCGACATGCTGGCTGCAGTTATTAAAGAAAAAAGCAAAATAAAAAAAATGAAGCCAACAGCACGTGGTGTTCCCAAGCGGTCACCCATCCAAGTACTAACCACGCCCAATGCTGCTTAACTGCGGTGATCAGACGAGAACCGGTGTTTTCAGCATAGTATGGCCGTTGACGGAAATTTAGCTGATATTTTAGGTATTAGTATGCTGTTGTCGTTAGAGAAAGACGCTTTTTTTTAGTAAATGAGACTATGTAATGTCGAATTAGAGGATGATAATGAAGTGGAAAGGATGTGGACGGAGGTGGTTTTGGCCTCATTGAAGATTTTGTCACGTCATTTGCATGAAGGAACTGGGAAAAACAGAAAGCATGCAAGAAAATTATTTAACAAGCAGTGGCTTGGCGTAACCATTTAAAAAGTGTAGCCAAAACCCTTGATTGTAATCGACTTTTTTAGATTATGAAAGGAGACATTGGAGGTTTCTTAAAACCACACAGACAAGAATCAACTTTGTGCCAAAAATGAGATAAACGGCGTACACTATTCTTTAGTTGTTTCAAATTTTTGGGGGGAAGAAAGGGGTTGACCTGCCCATTTCAACGAATTTTTCCTGGGAAGACCTAGACGTACGTGGGAGGATAACATTAAAATGGATCTCAGAGAAATCGGATGAGGTGGCGTAGACTGTATTCATCTGGCTCAGTGTAGGAGCCAGTGGTTGGCTCTTGAAAATTTGAGAGCCTTCGGGTTCGATTAAAATGTTGGGAATTTCTTGAGTGGCTGAGCACCAGTTGGCTTCTCTGGAAGGACTTGGCTCCGTGGAGTACGTAAGGTTGGTCATGCTGGTAATCAAAGATGGCGTTCGGTGAAAGCGCGGTTTTCAAGCCAAGTGTGCGGTTTGTGGTTAGTTCACAGAAACATATATCCAGTGAAGATTTTGGAAGTAAGTAATAATTAATACTAATAGATTCAATTAATGTTTTTCGTGTTATTATTTTCTGGTTTAAAAATAAGTGCAGATAATTTAAGGTTAAATTACGTACCTGGTCAGTGTGTGAACAATGTACACTTTTCTAATGGCACGTAATATTTTCTTTTGCCATACTGTTTCTTTACTTGCTAGTGCTCGATGTAGTGAATTCAAACTTTATTATGAAGAAGTTAATTTTAGAAGATGGCTGTCTCCTGTTTTTTTTGATCCCATCTAGTCTGGTAGAAGTTTTCTAACATTTCAGAGGTCCATCATCAGATGGAGGAAGCAAGGACCTCTGAAACGTCGGCAAACTCCTACCAGACTACACGGATCAACAACCCAGAAGACAGCCATCTGCAAACTCACCGCCATGAAAACCTTAAAAGTTAATATTTATAATTATTTGTATGTGTTCAGACTTTGTTGTTAATAGGGAGGTGCTACTTGCTCTGGTTGTTTTTTATTTACCTCCACTGTGCCAAATATGTTGTTAATCATGATAAAATTACATATTCTGCAATCTATATTGATAAACATGATAGTAGTTGTAGGATTTAAAGAAGTTTTGTTGGGATCTCTATGAAAGCCTCTGATAAAATATATTCAGAAAATTTTATTGCCTTATAAAAGCAATGAAGATTTTATACTATACACTTCATGAACTGAAGGAATATGGTAAAAAAGACACTGATATTGTCAATGGTTTTGAAACTTAATTTGAGGTGGTGTAACCATCCTTGGTGAAGTTTATTTTGCAGTCAAGGCTTGATTTAGTATCAATGGATATGGTAGCCGACTAAGTAGCCAAGATTGAAGTTGAACTATTAACGTTATAAAAACTAGTGTCTTTTTATAGTGTTAATAGTTTTTTGTTTGTTTATTTTGTATGCATTACACCGATTAAAGTTGCAGAATGGTGTTGAGTTCTGTGGCAGAATGTGATCAGCTAATGTTTCTTCATTGAAACTGTTGTTGCCAAATGTTGTGACACTTTCCCCAACATCTGATGCAGGTTATTAATACCTATTTTAATTTCCAAACCACTACACAAATATGCTCTAAGTGTAATATTTGGGTCATAAAAATTGGAAGTGTCAGTAGCAATTAATTTCTTTCTGTGTGTTAAGGCATGAGACTGCTCATTTAAGCAGGACGGAGCGATCAAACAGAACGATGAAAATGCTGGGAGAATTCTTTGATCAAATTATTGCTCAAAATGTGTGAGACCCTCAAATCCTACTAAGATATGCATAGTTTATAGTTAACAATGTAGTACAATTGGTCAATTGCAAACAATTTGAGGATGTGTGATTTTATTTTTATAAATGGACTTGGTCATAGTAGTGTGAGTAAAAGATTAATAGCAGGAGGTATTAGGTTCATCCATTTGTTCTGGATAGGGATGATAATACCTCAGAAAATTTAATGTTTGAAGTGAACTCTGACAGAGAAAACTTTTACAGTTTTAATGATGGAAAGCATTGATGATTTGCTGGAACTAGTATGAAATTAAATGATGAGAAAGACTGCTAGTTATATAGTAGTGGTGCTTGTCTGTTGGACCTGGATTCACAGAAGAGAATTATCAGTTACTAATTCTTCAGGGCAGATTTTTACAGAATTTGATACAGTGTCAGATCTCGTATCAGCATCCCAAAATCTGGAAGGATTTAAAATCCATATTTTTTCTGGAAACGTTTATGGCAGCATTTTCCTCTATTTATCATGTTTAAAACTGGTAATTTATAATTCTTTGACTCACCACTTGTGAGTGGCATCACTGTCAGCAGTCTTATCACTGGTAGCAGACGACAGCTTGCTTGTTTGCACTTGTTAATTCGGTGGATGGTGTAAGCTTTTGTCTTGTAGGTGATGAAAATGATTACCAACTTAGATTTTTTAAGTTCTTCTGTTTCTCTTGAGAAACAAATTGTGAATGATTTGTCGAAATATGCATATATTTCCTAATTTCTTTGATAACCATGACATCACTTGAAAATAACTGAATTATTTTACTAATTATTCATACTTAAGACATTTTCCCACTAATGGCAACTAACATACATTTTTGAAAATAATTTATTAATTGTTTAAGTTGTTAACAACAACAGCTACATCTTCATATTATTAATGTATGGTTGATATTGTGACAGTTGGCCCTGTCATACCAGAAACTGGCAAAACAATATGTGAGATCCTTAACCCAATTTATATTATAAACAAGCACTCAATAGAGGATTGAGAAAAAAAAACTACCAAGCACTTTGTAGGATGTTGAACTTCCCTCCTTAATTTGCATAGTCTGCAATCACATGTGAAGTGTTTTCTGGAGAAGAACTCAAAAGATTTTATGCACTTGTTATGCTTCATAACCTAAAAATATAAACAATGGAATTGCAAAAGCCTGGAATTGTGTTACGGGAAGACATTTTTTGGAAACTTCAGTTCCTTTTTAAAAAAATATTCTCCCAAATTCAGGATCACAGAATACTATCACAACACAAAAGAAATGTAGTCATGTTGTCAGTGTTAATATGTTTTCTGATGCTGGGCAAATCAGAACGGTGTAGTGATATTACCATAGACACTCAGAAAAAGCACATTACGATACGTCTCATTCATGCATTTTTGATTTCTCCATAAACTGTTATGCAAGCCACTGTGACTAAATGTGTCATATGCTGCTTTATCATGTCTTGACTAACTTATGTTCATCAAGCCTAATGTTTTATAGCTAGCATTGTTCATAACGATGACACAATCAGCTCTTTCATGAACAAATTCTCTTCTCTTGCGC